GCTCACAGTCCCACTGTACTGCTCGAATCATTCTCTGTCGAACGATGTAGAATACATCTATTTCAACCCTTTTTCTAGCAAAATCCTGCCAAAAATTCTCTATGGCAAAAACTGAAAATTGTCTCCCGCCTAACTTAGCCAGTATGAGTCTGGCAGTTGGAAAATTTTTATAGGATACTCGACAGAGACAGGGGAACAAAACGTACCATTCAAATTTTTTTTATGAACACTTTCATTTTTTTATCGATTGTACCAGAAAGTTACGTTTCTCTCACATATTTAGAAACGTCTTTTCTAAAATTCATCTGTAGTAGGAAAATACATGTCTTTTAAGGCTACCGTTGATTAACTTATACTTATTACCCTATTTACTACGTTAATATAGTATGCTGACGTAAGCTGGTACGTTCACGTTATACCTTTCACGATGTCCTGTATTTCGTTTCTTTTCGACTTATAACTAAGATGGGTGATGCAGTGTTTTTAAATGCAGATTAGTTAAATATTTTATGAACTAAAATTCTTCTTTGTGCAGAGTATAACTTCGAAAGTTCCATACGAAACTACAGGCAAGATTTTTGGTGATCCTAGTATTAAGGGGCTGCCCCCAGCGAAAAAACGTTTTTTATCCTATATCCAATTTCGATGGCGCTTCCAGTGACTAATGCTTACTGTCCTGCGAGCTTATGCTAAGAATTCGGGATCGAAACATTGAAGCACTGCCGAGTTAGTGCATGACAGGGAGCAAAATGGGGCTCTTAGCAAAAGCGCTAAGGCTTTTTTGTTGGAAGGTGCAGAAAGCTGCGAGAGGCCTCAAATGAAAGCAGACACCTGAATCTAAAATTTAATCGGCGGCGATTTTTGAATTTCACTTCCGTTCATTCCCTACACGTATTTTAAGTCAGTAAGTCAGACCTCTGAAAATAACCCTAATTCGGCGGAGTATTTGCCACTTATCGCTGCACAGAAAAAAAAAATCAAAAATCGCCGCAGATCAAACTTTAGATAAATGTCTTAGCTTCAAAATAAAAAAAGAATGAAGGTTTTATGACGAATCGTCTAGGAGTTAATACAACTTTACTACGCGAAAACCATATTCTAAGCAATGACGTCATCACTTCATTAATTATAGTTCAGCGCCTTTAGCAAAACTAGTATAACTCTGCAAGACGAAGTCGTATAAACCTACTGGACATCTCATTCAGAACATTCTGCTTAACACATTGATCGCGACCCACGGATAACGCTCGTTGTTTATTTCGTTCTTCATTACAGCGTAAGTAGCGGTCAATGTGTTAGCATAGCTGCATGTCTGTTAAAACGGATAACCTAAAACATTTTAACTAAAATGTGAAATTTTAGAAAAGGGAGATTTTTTAGGACTTTCAGAAATCTTTTTCAAACACCTCCAAAAAAAATCTCCTTAAACGAATTAGTTATGTCTGGTCAGTTCTAAAAAATTTCGTTTATTTACTTACTCGACTGCTAGTTCTTTTAATTCTAGCTCCATTTAAAAAAGAGTAATCAGGAATTATTGGTATTTTCCATAGATCGAATAAGTGAATGAACTGCTTTTACTTCATAAATATTGCTTCACTCTATTACATTCAAACGTGAAGGTTTTCCTGAAACTTAGGCACAGTACAGTATTCTATTATTGCATTAATATTTTGAATTAGAATTAGAGATTGTAAAACGAAGGCTTAGTAAAATTTAATTATATGAGTACAACATAAGTCAAGTATAATTTTAGATTTTCATCGAATGATTCTTCTAATTTTGAATCTTGTTTAAAAGAAATATGATAAGAATAAAAATTTTAAAATTGTTTTGAATTCATATATTTAAAACTCTGTAAAGTCCATGCTAATAATACCATTGAATAGGAAACACTGGATCATTACCCTTACGAATGTATGCTACGGCACCAATATAAACTCGAGAAAAATACTGAATTATAAAATATATAAAAAGGCTCTCAATTCCACAAATAGACATAGAAAAATATTACCTTTTGAAATTGTAGTGTGTATATTTTTTTTGTAGCTATTTAATACCCGAAATAACATCCTATTACAATGGCATCACAATATAATTTTAAAAAGATTATATCAATTCCAACTGCTCAGGTAAAACGAAATAAACCTAAATAAAGAGTTTTCTGATGAATGTGTTTGGTCATTTAGGATTTTATCGATATTATTCTATCAAAAACACAACGCAAAACTCCGACTGTTGTTCATAAACAGTATAAAATTGGCCGTATTCGACAATTTTATTTAAGAAAAGTAAAATTTACGCAACAAAGTTTCCATGATAAAATAGCACTAATATTAACCGATTTTCCAAAACTAGAAGTAAGAATAATAAAGAAGTAAAAACTTATTATTTTACTATCTGTTATTTAACAGGAAATCCATCCGTTTTATGCTGATTTAATGAATGTTTTGTATGATAAAAATCATTACAAGTTAGCATTGGGTCAATTGAGTATAGCAAAGAATTTAATTGATAAGTAAGTAATATTATGCGTAAATTTGTTAAAATATTATTTTCCACCATTTGGCCTTTAGTGTTGCTAAAGATTATGCTCGAATGATGAAATTTGCAGATTCACTATATCGATGCAAATGTTTGAAACGCGCTGCCTTAGGAAGGTAACGTTGACGAGCTAGAGACATAGAGCATACGACATCGAGAATATTCTCGTTATCGTTGTGTTAGGATGGCAACAATAATCAAACGTCAGGCTCAAAGTTTACAATATTTAGAACAAGTTCGTCAACATTTATCTCGTTTGCCATCGATTGATCCAAATACGCGAACATTATTGATATGTGGTTTTCCAAATGTTGGAAAATCAAGTTTTTTGAATAAAGTACTAAATAATTGCTTTTTTTCTCAGTTGTTTCTTGAAATGTTTACGTTGTAGATTACCCGTGCCGATGTCGAAGTTCAACCTTATGCCTTTACCACAAAATCCTTGTATGTTGGACACAGTGATTATAAATATTTACGATGGCAAGTTGTTGATACACCTGGCATACTTGATCATTCTTTAGGTAAGTTTGATATAGGAACATTTAATCTGTATTAAACTTGATTTTTTCATCATACTTAGTAATTAAAAGGTCAGACTTTAAGGACAATATATTTTTAATTTTTACATATTCGCTGCAGATTAATTTTATTTGTTATAACTATTATAAATTTACTCGACTTTTTGTTTCTTTTCCTTTTTGTAGAAGATCGTAATACAATTGAGATGCAAGCAATAACAGCATTAGCACATTTACGTGCCGCCATACTATATGTTATGGACATATCGGAACAGTGTGGCTACTCTTTAGAAGAACAGGTAAAAGAGTCTCGTCAAATAATAAATTTAAATAATTTCGCTTTTAACAATACATGTTTTACTTCTAGCTCAATTTATTCAATAATATCAAAGCTCTATTTACGAATAAGCCATTGTTAATCGTTGTTAATAAAGTTGATATAAAACGTTTAGATGAATTATCTGATGAAAAAAAAGTAATTGCATTATTTCTTCTAATAATTTGTAAATTTTAATGTTTGTCCATTTTTTCCAAGGCTGTTTTTGAACAATTTCGTAAAGAAGACGTGAAAATTATGGAGATGAGTACGTTTACAGATGAAGGCGTTTGTGAAGTTCGAAATGAGGTAAATAATTTCTAGTTTGATCTTAATCTTCATACGGGTATATATATATATGATCCTATTCAGTAGAGATGGAGAACAAAACTGAGTGACTTGATCAGTTAAATATTGAGTTTAATTTCGTTCTTTAACAATTGTGCTTTTTCTATAATGCCTAATTAGGCATGTGATCGCTTGCTTGCACATCGTGTTGATATCAAATTGAAAAGTCGTAAAGTCGACGATGTACTCAATCGTTTACACGTCGCACAACCACAAAAACGTGATGAAATTGTTCGTCCGCCACATATTCCCGAAGGTGTGTTCAAATCTTTAGAAAAAGCCACGAAAATAACGGAATCCGCCGTATCGAACATAGTGCCAACAATAGATGATGAAGATTATACCGGTGAAAATGATGAAAAACCCATTACTCGAAAGAAAAAACTTGAACGTGATCTCGAAGTAGAATTGGAAGATGATTATCATTTGGATCTAAGAAAAACATGGCTATTAGCTACTGATAAAGAAAAATATGATATATTACCAGATGTTTATCGTGGAAAAAATGTTGCTGATTACATTGATCCCGATATCATGAAAAAATTAGAAGAATTAGAACAGGAAGAAGAGGCACGTGATGAAGCCGGTTTCTATGATGAAGAGGAAAGTGAAGAAGATGATGAAACACAAGCTATAAGAAAATTGGCAAAAAAAATTCGTTATAAACGACATGTGATGATATCTGAAAGTAGATCGAAAAAACAAGCTAGACGCACGCCATCTGTACCAAGACCAAAATTACCAATTAAAAGAGAAAGATTAGAAAGTACAATGAGTGAACTTGGAATTGATATGGAAAATAAAGAAGGCGTAAGTACACATTAAACTTTGTTGTATCATTGATAAAAGTATGAAAATTGAAATAGTCCAAGCTGTTGAGTACGATGAGATTTTGTATCTTAAATCGAAATAAACGCTTGGTAAATAATATGTCTGTTCAATGATCGTCTCCTACAGACATTTATCATACCAATGTGGATAAATGATACACGATCGAATATACAATAGATTTGATATAACGAAAAGAAGTTTTTACTAGCTTATTTTTTGTTATTTTAGTCACATTATGTAGACAAAGCTAAAAAAACAAGAAGTAGATCTGAAAGTCGACCACCAGTAAAACGGCAACGAGTTGATTCTGAAGGACGTGTTCGAAGTAGTTCAAAAGTTCCACGAGATCAATCGGGTGTACGTGATGTTGTTGTAAGTAAAAAACATTCTTTTCAAACTAAGACAGGTGTACGATGATTGTTTGTGGTTTTTTTCAGATGGCAAATAAAGCAAAGTCTATAAGTAAAGTTAATCAACGTAAATTTCAATTGAGAGCCACATCAGGTGAATCAGACAGACGTATTTATGTCAAAAAACCAAAACATTTATGTATGTATACTACAAACGGCTGTCGAGTCAAAAGCTATTCTTAGACCAATTTTGTTTTATTATTTTAGTTTCTGGAAAAAGAACTATTGGAAAAACAGATCGACGATAATGGATATCGAATACACTTCTTTTATATGTTTTGTTTTCAGTCCGTATTTTTGCAACAAAGTGTCTACCGTTTTCTATTATTTTGTTATTTCAATACCTTCGTATTGTTATTTATATACGCAGAAAATAGAGAGAATTAAACAAAGAAACATCAGTTTTTTTATTATTATTCAATCATTACATGACATTGTGCTATGTATCAGTAGCTCTTGACTACTCAAACTTCTCGAAATTTATTGTGAAACAGAAAAAGAAGAACTAAACATGAAACTTTTCATTTTCTTTGCAGATACAATGACACAAAAAAGTATTACGTTTTTTTTTGGTAAAAAACGCACATTATCGGATGCTGCTGATGAAAATCAACCTCCTGAAGAGCAAGTGAGTTTTTTTAGTTTCAAAATTACTTTGTCAAAAATAAACGATATTTTTTTATAAATTTAGATAGCCAGTCCAAAACGAGTCAAAACTGATGCTCCCACGACATCATCGTTATCACCGTTTACTGATAAAAAACCAAATACGATTGAACAAAGTTCTCCAGGACGGTTACCACCAACAGAAGAAGAGAAAAGAACATTAGAACAAATACAACAGAATCGACTTATGGCTAAAATGAAACTTGAAGCAAAAAACACATTTGGTGTTGTTGTTGATATGTCTTTGTCATGGTATAAAGCATTCGAATCTGAATTTTCTAAAGATTATTTTTTAAAAGTATGATACTTACACCTCGCTAGTTTAATTTCATTATTATAATTCTCATTTAAATGTAGCTGTCAGCATTTATCGCCGAGGAACGTACAAAACATATAATTTATCCCCCAGCGAACATGGTTTTTTCATGGACGAGATTTTGTCAGTTGAGTGAAGTAAGCATGGTTATTCTTAGTTATGATGAAAATATGATTAAATTTTTTCTATTGGCAGGTTAAAGTAGTTATATTGGGTCAAGATCCCTATCAGTATGTGCAAACGTTTTTCCTCTTTCATTGCATAACGATATGTTTCTTTTCTTTATAGTCAACCAAATCAAGCACATGGTCTATGTTTCAGTGTGCGTAAGAATGTTAGACCACCACCAAGGTAACAAATTTAGAGACAAATTTATTCTATTTTACACCTTTCTGTATTTAATAGTTTGTTAAATATGTATAAAGAATTGAAAAACGATATTGAGGGTTTTGAAATTCCAAAGCATGGTAAGTTATTAAAATAACTGTGACTAAACGCCTTTAACATATTTGTTCCTTTTTCCAGGAACATTGGCTGGCTGGGCTCGTCAGGGTAAGGGGAACTTTTTTCTGCTAAGCTTTATATTTATTTGCTGTTATTTCGGTTTCAGGTGTGTTATTGCTTAATGCTTGCTTGACAGTTGAAGCAAATAAAGCAAATTCACATAAAGGAAAAGGGTGGGAAAAATTTACGGTACGATCACAATTAGATTTCTTTTCATGGATGTATCCAGACTTTGTTGTTCTTTATAGGATGTTGTTATTCGATATTTGAATGATCGCACAAGTCATATTGTATTTTTATTATGGGGAAAAGACGCACAAAATAAAGGAGCACAGATAAATAAAGTAAATCCAAACTTTTTATAAATTTATCGATAACCTTATCTAGGAAACGATAATACTCGGATGTTCTGTAGTCTAAGATGAAAAAACGCACACTCTTTTAACAATACTCAGTTGTATAAAAATCTTTCATCTTCCTCGTTATAGAAACGTCATCATGTTTTGACTTGTGCTCATCCATCGCCGTTATCAGCACATAATGGCTTTTTTGGTTGTAAACATTTTTCAAAATCAAATGATTATCTTAAATCACATGGAATAACACCTATCGATTGGTCAAATCTACCATCAGAAGATGATTTGCCATTTATTTGAATAATATGAAACACTATGTTATCTTTTCATTTGTTTTTGATTGCTTATTTAACCTTCTTTGAACTACTTAGTCAATTCGTTTAAAATTTTCGTTTATCATTTCACGACTTTTTTCTTGTTGAAATAGTTTTCTCTTCGTCTGTTGTCGTCTCAGACGTTATTTTACTTTTACCTATTTTCTTATTGTTACAAATTATCTATTTTTTGTGTGATAGCTTTTTTCTTTAATACTGTACAGCTTTGATGAAAGTCATCTATTTTCTTATGTATGCCAGGCTAGAGATTCTTTTTTGTTAAATCGTTTATTTATTGAAATCGAGTATCTTATCATAAGGTAAGCTTGAATAGCCTCGAAAAGAAAAGCACGAAAAATTCCATTTATGATCTAAATCAGGGTTGCTGGACCAATGAGTTCAGAATGGGCACATTTTTAAAGTAAAATCAGCCTTAAGTGATAAACGACTTTTTCTCATAAACAAACCACAGAAGTAAACAAAAATTCCTTCAAAGTGATAACAGATTTTACACAACAAACGTACACGACGCACATGACTATGAGAAAATAAACATCACAAGAAAACCATCCAAAGTCACGTATACGGTGCTCATTTACTACGCACAATATCAGGAGAGACGGTATGGTTTGGTAGTTATGTTGTTTGTCACGTACTTCAGCCGTACTGTGTTGGAAACGCGGCGCTGTCATATCATGTAATAACCTCGGACAAGTTACTTATGTTTTAGTGCTTTGAATAACCTGTCTGATAGTGAATTTAATACTTTGTGATGTACAATACAGCTCCACTGGCTAGTTCACGTAGCTTTCCAGAAGGCTAGTGCGTGGTTAGCAGGGTCGTAGCCAGGGGGGGGGGAGGGGATCGGGAAACCGGTTTTCCCCCTGACTTTTGAAAAAATGATTTTTTTTCATTGAATCCCATCAGAAAAAGTTGCTAGTTGATAAAACTTCAGACTATCTCTGAAGACAAAAAAGTCGATCCCCCTCTCGCCAAAATCCTGATGGTTAGTGAGTGTGTATGGGGAGGGGTGCTCGAGTACTTGGGCGAAAGAATCGCGCGTTAGTCTAGCCTTCTTGCCAGAGCTATGGTTGATGACGAGTAACGATAGAGGTGACCATGTCAGAACCTTGTCAGTTATGGGGAAGATAAGGTATAGGACTATTAAAACTACCATTTGGTAGCATCCTACATTGATAACGGTAGCCGCAAGACAAGATTTTCTTCCTTTATTTACTGCGATTGTTTATGTTCTTGGCAAAAAAATCAGACAAATTGTCAAAAAGTGTGTCGCTTACATAAGAATTATCGTTATTTAGTAGAAAAAAAAGCGAAATACAGAAAAAATAAACAAAAGAGAGAACACAGTTACACAAGAGAAATATGTAGTCTATAGCAATAGTCATACAAAGAATACAAATGAAACAGATACTAATAACTAATAATCCAGATGGCTTTTACGTAGCAATCGGAAAACACTAATATTAGTGTTGTGTGCTATTAAGAGGAAAAACATTTCGTTGTTGCAAGATAAGTAATATGAAAGCTGAAGAAGAAGCTATAGTAGGAAATTTTTTCATGTGAATTTGACTAGTATGCTCCGAAAGTGAAGCCTGTCAATTACTTTGATTATCTATAAAACTTTAATACTATAGTACAACTAGTTTTAAATTAAATTACAATGTCTAAAAATAAAATGAATGTCTGTACACTTTATTTACTATGAATGACACTGTTCACATATTGAATTAAAAACAGACAGTATTATTGCTGATTCAGCAGTTTCATCATGTACAACTCTTTTCTCCTTTTGCTAGCCAACACTGAAGACAAGCATAAAGAAACATCAGGCGGTTACGGTTACGTATGAATGTAAAATTACTAATAACTTTCATACATCTCTATGTGTAATCATTTTGAATAAGCAAAATTTGATAATAATTGCACGATAATATTCATAGAATCATTAATCAAAACATTTGCACTATATTGCACATATAGTTCAGCATACATACATCTATACATACATAAGTTTTGACTACCGTAGCAATAAACTCATCATGTGTATTGAACCGTGACTGAACTACCACTAGCGCCACGATCTATCTATTGCTTGACACAATAACTTCACTGAGAGATCATTTTGGTATGATTAGCGAAGAGTAAAGAGCAAAAAAGAAGAAAGAAACAAAAATGAACATTTTTCGTTAAAATATGACGAACTATGCTCGAGGAATACGAGTATTTGTCATTTTTAATATAGGGATAAAATAATCAATAAGTGAAAAAAGTGCGAGATCACACATCGTCGTCATTTGAAAGATATATCGGGAAAATCGTGAAAAACCGCGCCATATAGTCACACTCTCACGTGTATAATAGTCAAAAGTTTGTAATAGAAATTAAGAATAAAATCACCTTTTTCGTGTTGAAATTAATTTCAACATGAAAAAGGTGATTTTATTCTTAATTTCTATTATAAAACTTTTTACCTTAAACAAAGATTCAGCAAAAGTTTGTAATTGATTTTCATTTTGTTGCCCATTCTAAGATGAATCCGATGACAACTTATAGTAATTTAAACGATGGCATTACAACAAGAAGATATACTGGATTTCCTTTGAATTCAACACTCGTTAGTGCTTATACACCTGATACAATAAGAAATATTATTACCCATGCAGCTGCCGGGCAACCCTACAGTGAGTATTTCGCGTTTTATATCGTTATTTACTTCTCCCTGTAATATCATATAATAAAGTTTCTCTTAACTAACCACCTTTCGTACCAAACTAAAGTGGGCACTATAAACAGATGATCACATTAAAGAAGTTCACTTATAGTCAAAACTACATTTTTGAAGGTTGATGAAAAAAAAATTTTCTTATCAGAAACCGCTAGCTTATCGTGTCAGCGTCCACTAGAACAGAATCTGTTTCTCGGATTGACGCTTCGCTACTTTTTTTATAGAAACTACGTTTATGTCCTCTGTGACTATCGACAGTTACAAATGTCACCAAGGGCGTGCTTCTATCGAGTTTTTGCCAAGAAAGACGTCCTACGCCTAAGATCACACTTATTTTTGGAAATAAGATGATATACTAGTGATTTGTTTCAATAATTTACGGCTACTGATATATCCCACACTTAAAACCTTCATTTCGCTAATAATATTATTACCAAAAGAATCTACTCCTAATTTTTTTATACAGCATATCTATATACAGATAAATGAAAAAATAATAGGTTACAATCCAGAATAAACCACACAAGAATTGGCGCAAATAGATATCATTTTTAAATAAATTAAACTGACCTCGTTGACATTATATGTAACTTATGACACATATCACCGGAACAAAAATAAAGCTGGTTTTGTTACTGAAAGTACTTTTTCGTATTCAGCACACTCGATAACCCAGAAAATTTTCTATTTTTTTGGCGAGAGTTACTTCCAAAAGTTTAGAAAAAATTTTCAAACTAATATTATTTTCCCATGGAAATGTTTTTGCACCATTTTGTCTCAAAAATTTTTCTAAATTTTTGGAAGTAACGCTTCGGCAAAATTAGAAAATCTTCTGGGTTAGCGAGTGTACTGAATACGAAAAAGCACTTTTCAGCAACTCAAAACCAACTTTATTTTTTTTGTTACGGTGTTATGCCGTAGTAGAATTTCCTACGACAATGAACATACATAGTTTTGTCGCTGTGGAATTTGACTTACAAAAATTAAGCGGTAAAACACACCGAATATATACGGTTAAACTGCTTCGTAGCTTAAAAGTAGAACATAGGCCCATCGAGGCAATGTCATCGAAAGACTGTACATTCATTGACGCTGTGTATATGTACAAATTCAGTTCTTGATATATTGATCATTTTCTCTAGCTACTGCTGTATGGATAAGAGTCAGTCGAATGGGTATTCGTATAAATGCTCAAAACCCACAAGTGGCAAGTACCCGTGTACCAGTATTTATACCAATATCACTGGTACATGACATTTTTATTCAACCAAACATTCCAAATGTGATTTGTATTGTTTACGATGAAATACAATCGAAGATGAAAGGTGTTTTGTTGTACGTTGTTCAGTCAGGTATATTAATAATAAATAAAGAGCGATACACTTTCATATAACGCGATAATTTTTTTTGATTCGCAGCCGATGCAGTTTTACTCAGAGAAGATATTCGTGCTATTAAACAGCAAGTATCTGTGCATACACCAGCACCCTACGTGAACCCGTTCGATTCTCGTTTTGCAAATACAAATGTAATTGGTCGCAGCCAAATACCACCACCGTATTCTACTTATCTGCCACCACACAGCCAAGATCAACCACTTCGTTTAGAACCCAATATGTTACAACGGATATCGCCACCCGTAGCTGAAGTTTACAGAGGCAACGTCACGGAGCCTCCAACACCTATGCGCCGAGTTGTTTACTTAAAAAATGGTTCAGCTCGCGTTTCACCCACAGGTCCATATTCAGACTTACCACAACTGGGTTGCGCACCGTCAAAAGGTAGCTATAATGGTCACGAACGACGTAGAAGTCCTCGAAAAAAGCATCATACCAAACCATCGACTGATAGTGGTAGCAGACATCGGCGAAAAGTTCCTTTAGAGCGCTCAAGATCATTGGAAAAAAACCAACAGATTAAGGCTGATTCTAACCATTTACTAAAAAATGGTCATCAAAGTACAGACACAGATTCCAAAAATTTGTCACCTCAACAACTTCAACAGATTTTGTATCAACAACAACAACAACAAATCGCAGCAATGATGGCAATGCAAAAAGCAAATCAAGTTCCAATAGTGCCATTGGGTATCTATAACAGGTATGTAATATTTCGGAAGTTGCTATAACGTTATTATATTGTTTGTTCTTTTTCTATTAGATACGTGCCAAAAACGATACCATTACCATCGGGTGATACAATCAAAACAACTGTTCCGCAGCCACCAATCATAAATGGAAATGATCATAATCAAACACTGAATAGTAGAGGAGAAGCTTTTCTTCACCATGAGCAAAATGGTCTAATAAATAATCATTCAAAATCAAGATCAGTCTCACGTTCATCATCAAGAAATCGACAAAAAGCTCGACCGGCAAGTGTTCAACATCCGTTCGAAATATTAGAGACGCGTCATCACCATCACCACCATCGACATTCTCACAAAATACCACCAAATGGTGCTAATTGGGGAGCAATGACAGTGAAAGGTTTATCAACACGTAATCGTCGAAAATATAGTGACAGTAAAGAAACCAAACAATATTTAAAACAGTTACTTGACGAAGTACAAAACGTTAAAACCGAAATGAACAGAATAAAACAAACAGCCGTAATGAAAAATCGTCCTGATTCATTAAAAATTGATTTAAGAGAGATCAAACCAGATATTGAACAAATTCGAATAAGAGCAAATAATTGAGAAACATCGTAATTTTTGTTGTTGTTTTTATCAGACCAAATATTATGTCTTTTTTGTAAAAATCTTTATTATTCCATATAATAGATAAAAAGAAATCCTTTCACACTTTTAAGTATAAAGTATGTTTATATCACTAAAACATAAAACGATTATATATTAAATATATATATGACTAATTCAATGCAATGTCAATTATTTCAACTAATATCTGCGTTTTTAGACACAACAACAACCACTACAGCAAAATCTTTTGGTCTCATTCGTTGATCGACTAGCAGACACAATGTTTTCCGTTGGACAATATCAAAACAGCTATATGTTAAAAACACTTTGTTCAGGAAACAGAACAAATCTCCGATCTTTTCTAAGTTCACTAAGCAATTTTATTATGTCATATATTTAAAAAAGTGGAGTACTCTTTAAAAAAAGAAGGTGTAGATCTTTTTTCTAAAAATTGATCAAATATTAGGCAGTCAGAAAAAAGAGAGGAAAAAGAAATAAAAAAAATCGTTTGTTTTATACAAAAAATAGGTTCATGATATTGTCAGATCCGCTATAGTAAAGCAAGACCAATGGCGGCGAGTATCGAAGTACCAATAACAACAGCAGTAATTGTTTCATATTTTTCAAAACCTCTACCGGTATCCCACGCCTAAAAAACGAGATTGAATAAATTGTAATAAAACACAATATGAGAGAGATAACATACCAGATGACGAATACCGTTTACGGTATGATACGTAACTCTAACATAGAAAAGAAAAAATGAAATTATACACTTATGTAACTAAACACTATGATACTTACGGCCATGCAATCATAAGTTTAATTGAAAATATTGCCCAACTAGGAATGTTCATTGCATATATATAACTTAAGATTTCTGGACTATGACCAGCAGCGAAAAAACAAAGTGCGCCAGCGGTATAGAACACTACAAGATATAAGTAAATTATAGTTAACAACTGATTATTACTCACAATAAGGTGAGACTCATAATTTTACATAGCCTTTCATAATTTACGTAGCTTCTTGAGTGTATAGTAAAATGCAGTGTTGAACACTATGAGACAAAAATTGACTTACTTCCATTTAAAATAAGACCCGTAAATCGATGAAATCCTTTAAACAAAAAGAGAATCTAACAAAGTTCAAATAATAATAAACACAAAAGAATACCTGATGTATACACTTGCAATGGGAATCTAGAAAAAAATCATAAAAACAATAGTGAATGTGAATTAAGAGAAAAGAGTTTGTTATCTCTTTGTACCGATATATTTGTATATGTGGTGATAATGGTCGATTTAGTTTTTTTTCATTCGTTTCAACCCATTCTTTGGATTTTAAACGATAAGCAGCTGTTTGTGGAGTAACAGTGTCACTGGAAGCAGCTGTTTGCAACAACATTGGACCATAACGGCTCAATGTTCTCGAGAACAATTGTTTGTTTAGACTTAAAAGAGTTAAAGACATTTTTTATCTAAAAGAACAAAAACGACTGTCGATTCTGACAAAAATTTAAAAAAGTTAATCTCTGATTGATTTAGCCGAATAGTGTGATGAAAAAAGAAACCTATATTATAAGTAGAATTTTTATTATTTTATGACAAAACAAAATGTTAAGAATCAGTATTCTACAGATGTTGATGTTTGACGCGTAATTCGCAATAACTGACGTTTTACATCTGAACAAAAAACAACATAAATTGATTTATTGTGTCTCACTCTGAACACGTATACGTACTTGCATCAATTGTCTTCTCAACAGCAACATCAAAACGCTTTGTTTTCAAAACAAAGTCTTTGAATAAGTTAATATTGCCTTCGACACCAAAATAATGCACTTTAGCAGCCACATAACTAATATACAGAGTGAAGAGTAAAATATGTACAATAGACATTTCCATGTTTTAGAATATGTTAAAGGATACATAACACCATTATATGTTAAAGTATGATCAAATAAATCGATTAATTTTTTATACGATGTTATACTGTAAATTGTCTCGGATGTAATAATAATATCATAGCTGTAATATAGAAGGGATATAGTATTTGAAAATTCGACAATTTTAATGTATTAAGATGATAAATACTCACTGCTTAGATGGTATAAATTCTAATAGATCAGTCCAATCACCAAAAAATAAACGATTATTATAAGAATATTTTTCATTTACAGCCTTTTTAACATTGTTCAATGTAATTTGCTCAAGTACTTCACGATTCTGGAACAGAAATTTTTTTTCAACAAATTTTTATAAATCCTAGAGCTAAGTACTTACAAAATCTTGAAGATCAACATCGAAATTGTGTTTGATTAATTGTATTGCAGGTAACGCATGACCACAACCAACCTGAATGGAGTACGAGTGACTGAAATCGAAACATACGCTTGATACTCACAACTAAACGTCTACAGAAACATAGACTACTTACTTCCAGTACGGTTCGATAGCCATTCTCTATCCATCGTTCATAATTATCGTCAATAAATAATGTTAAATCGTGACTACATTCCCAAATTTTTGCACCACCTAGAACAGAAAAAAAAATAATTAGAATCTTCATTTGTTTTCACATTTTGCATCATATATGTTACCTTCATAAACATCTGGTATAAGATCAGAAATTGATTCAAGTTCGTTCGGTTTTCTAACATTTTTATCACAATAATCGCTAATATCTAAATAAGTTGTTTTTAGTCGTTTTTTTACCATTAGTTGTGATATAAAATAACACATTACCGTTTCTATACAATACGCCACTTTGTTTTACACGTGGTTCATGAAAATTATTGGTTGTTGCTGGATCATCCAGTTTTACTAAAACAATAAGTGAAACTGAGATTGGCATTGTGTCAGAACATAAGGTAATTATAAGAGTTTTAATTAGGCCGGGCAAGAAAATCATCTTATGAGATGTAACATCATTTTATCCCATCGATCAATTTTATCTTCGGAATAATGTCTTCTCATTTCTACTAGTTCTTCTTCACTGATTTTTAAGTCGTATCGCTTTGAATTTTGATTCTTAGAAATAAACTTCACATTAGAATTTTTGTGTCTCAAAGCGAGCTACCAACAGCAGAAGGAGCCACTTAGTAGAAGAAGAAGGAACTTTAGGCTTGTTTTAGTTCAACGTAGATAATATAGAGTTTGTGTTTCAAAAATTGAACCATTCTAGATATTAAAAGAAATTTTGCTGATTTAATTTTTACTTTCCAATTTCGTTATTCGAACGTAAATTTTTTTTAATCCAATATTACCATTTAATTTTATGTAGAAAATAACGTCCAATTATGTATTTATCCGCAATAGAAAAGATAAGAACACTAAGGATATTAATTTTTCGAGAAAGACTATGGTTTTTATGATTAATAATCTCATAGAATTTTTACTCAGTTTCAAAAGATAGATTTTCCGTTGCATCATGTCCAGTCAATATATCTAAAATATATTACCATTATCAGAAACTTTTGATGTAATTGTTTGTGTTGACATAATAGCCTTGTTTTCATCCGATTCATCAATTGGAAAATTAAACTTGAACATCTACAATAATAACAAAAGTGAGTTATACAACAACAAAATGATGAACAACATGAAAGAAATTAAGAAACGCATTCAGTTTTTATTCATCTATTCAAAACCGCTTTTGGAGTTGATTTCTCGATTATAAGAAGCACCTACTATCGAACTGGCAAAAAAAAGGAAGATTATTTTTGCTAGCGCGAACAAACTGTTCAAATGATATTATGCGTTCATCAGTAATTTGGCATATTTTAAACGAATTAAAAATAATGTACAAAAAAATATTTAACAAAGATAGATGAAACATATTTTTTTATAACACATCATCTATTTGCCCTACGCTTTGATGTCTCATGCAATGTATCATAATTATCTCGTCGACGCTTTAATAAACCATTTGTACTTGGTGAAGATTTGGAAAAAGGAAATAATGAAATATCCGGTTCTCTACATGGTTTACTAGCATCTAATAAACGTGGTATGTTTTTCAACGATGAACAATTCGAGTTATTTGTTAAAAATGTATCGATACGAGTTTTGAGTTGTTGTGCTACGACCGGTTGTGTTACCGACGTAAATGGTTTTTGAGTAAATGGATCTTTTGGTGTACGAGCCCATAATCGATCTTCATTAATACATTTTTCCAGCGTAGATCTATCGATTATTATCCCACTTGGTAAAATAACTGGTACTGTCATGAGATTGCATGTTAGTGGATCAATGAATTCTCGTGGTACTTCAGGTGTTGTACTTATTGACGATTGACTGTTCTTCTGATCAGTTTTGTTGACTTGGGTATTTTTTTCTTCTGGCATTAATTTCTTGATTTCGTTCAAAATGTCGATTGAAATTGATAACGATAATGTTCCCCAAATTTCAAGATATTTTAATACAGCTGTAGAACAACGAAATGTACGCTTAATTGAAAGTTTTATTTTACTACAATTATTCAAATATAAATTTGATAAAAATTTGCATTTAAACGTCAAATTATTGTCAAGTGTGTCCTCATCTTTACTCGAATGCTCAGTTATCTCGATACGTCTTATTTGCTCATTTTCATTAAAAATATTGGCTATACGATGAAATACAAGTTGTCTTTTATTAATATTATACGGACATGTCTTATTAATTAACCAAGAGGAATTATTATCTACTTGATCACGATTAACATTGATATCGATGTGTGTTGAACGATGATTTCCAATGGTATTTCCAATGCAAATTCGTTTGATGTCGATATTAAATGGTAAATAAAGGATGATATCGATTGGAGGACGTTGAAATGTTTCGATCATAAATCCATTGCTAAAAAATAGACAAAAAAATAATAGTGAATAGCATGTTTACGAGAAGATGGTGCGATATATTATACATACTTATCCATAAAATCTTGCAAGAGATTGGTTGCACTGAAACCATCTAATTGTAATTGGTGACATTCGATTATTGGTTTGAATTGTTTTGAACAAAAATTGAACATCAAAAATATAGCAATACAGCATTTTAGCAAAAAAGAATTAAAAAGTTTCTATCAACGCAATGCTGTACTGCTAAAAGAGTACGACACTCTTGTAGCTCCCTTCACACTTAGCCAACTGTAATTGCACTGTATTCCTGCTAAATATCAGTTGAAGACTATTTTGAACGACTAGTGAGTCAGAACGCAACCCATGACAGTAATATTTTCTCTTAATGTTTTCCAACTCATTGGCTGTCGCCAAATAAACGTGACGCTACCACCGTAAATTTGAAAAAGTAAACGTCTGTAGTTTTTCACCTACAAATGTTCATTCCATGATTGTGTAAGGCCTGTGAAGGATATAATTATGGACTTTTCAATCGAGAAGCTGTCAGTCAGCTCCTTGAAGATATAGAATCACGTGCGTGAAAAATTACGGAGCTGGCTGATAACGTCCCGGTTGAAACGTCCGTTATTACATCCCTCACAGGCCTTACTCAATCATGGAATGAACATTTGTATGTAATTCAGAGAAAAGTAGGCGAAAAACTAGTGTTTTATTTTTTCTAATTTATAGTGATCACAACACAACGGTTAATTGTACGTAGACTTCCACGGTTTTAGCCACAAATAACTGCCACTAATATTGGCTAAAAGCAGGATTGGTAAAAATTTTGCCACAGATAAGAAAAATGTGCGGAGGTTCAATATGGCGGATGATAACTCAGAAGAGTCAATAGAACAAAATAGAATTTTGTTTGAGAATCAAAAAATAAAAGTTTTAAAAAGTCGCTCAAGGGTTTAAAAGTAAAACAGTTCGCTGTCTTGTACAAACTCTTGCGTTCTATCTCATTTTAAAGGTTTTCCGCGGCAGAAATTTATATTCACGGAGATAAACTCATATTCAAAATTTGTCAGAAATGAAAAATTAATTTTTAGATAAAGTAATGTGCTTGAAGAATGCCTAATTTCCGGATTTGACCAGGAGACTCCTGATTTTTAGATTTTTCTCCTGATGAAAAATTCCCCTGATTTCAGGAGCTGATAAGATTTTCTCCTGATTTTCCATTGTCCATTGTTTCTGTATTGATTTTGTTTTTTCAAAACTGAGTAATACTCAGTTGGATAATCCAGAAACAGAATTTCTGGATCAAGAGTCTAAATAATTATACACTGAAAGAGTTCGCTGTGTGCTTATCGAATGTTTTCATCACAAGAAGATGAGATTAGTGAACTTCCAAACCCATCGGATCAAATTTTTCTTCCTCAATCAACAAATGATAATTAATCTTTTTGTTTTACTTGTCCAAGAAGAAATTGCCTAATACTCTTCTATTTCTCTCCCGACTTTTTACAAGAAACTCCTGATTTTGAAAAACTGGATTTGGGCATCCCGGTCCTAGTTTCGATTGGATTTAATACACAGAGAGCTGTACTCGAAAAAAAGTCACTCTTTTACGCCTTCATACAGTTTCCAGCTTTTTAATGGCATAAGAAGCGATTTTGAACAAACAAGTATTTTTAGACACAAAAACATTTCGTAAGGCTAAAACTTTCAGATCATATTGAGACAAGTCATATCAGAAAAATAGACCTTCGAAAGTTTTAGATGTAAAAATTAAGTTCGTTTTGCATCCTTTTTTGCTCGAACTTTTCTTCGAGAACGCGATGTAATCAAGTTAGACGGCAAATTTCACCATGCGTTGTCTTGCGGAACACAATGCAATACATCGCAGAGCACAAAATAAGCACACAGCAATTCTATTTACATGTCTTAACTCTTTTTCACACAATTGCTGTGTGCTTAGTCTGAAGTTATCATTCAACTTATTCAGTTTTTCGTATCAGTTTTATATAGAGTAAATGTTTCTAATTCCAACAGAAATTTAACGTCTGCACTTTCATCCCTTATTCTTGATAAAGGACGGGTGCGTACAAGCTGAAGAATCAACCCACTTTTATTTTTTGCTCAGAATGGTCCTATGAGTAGCAGAAAACTAAGAACATTTGATTTCAGCTGCTTTCGAGTGGTTACAGCTGTTCATCCAGATAGGATCTTCACTTGGAAGCTAGCATTACAAAGCACCATTGAAATCCTACCCAGGCGATTTTCTCTGGCACTATAGGAGCATATAAAGAAACCAACGCATAATTAGAAAGCTTTTTCAATTCTCTACAAACTGATGTATTCATTCATGTTTGGATGTATGTTTGGTCACAAGGATTTGACGGGAATGCGAAAAGTTCAACACAGCGGGTCCAAAAAATTATTCGTCCATCCTTTTTTTTCATTTTTCTCGTCGACCATAGTAGCTAGAACAATTCCGAAAAAAATGCGAAAAACGAATGGTATAAACTAGCAACATTTATTAATTTCTTCTTTTCTCGATTCTGCATGAACCAAACAGAAAAGAACAGTCCATATTTTCTTTAAGGGCTGCGAACCCCTTATTTGTGGGTAAAAGTTGACAACTACGGTTAAGGTACGCTGGAACTAATCTAGTCCTAGTTTATCCTTTCGTTGCATTGGTTCGAAGTAATACTCTTCGAGTGTTACTCTCAGACACATTTCTCTTTAAGAGCCATTGCACGTAAGCCACGACCTATTACAGCGGAGTGGCCTTCAATCGATGTTCTCAAAACTTTTCCAAAGTAGGGGGCTTTTGTAGACCAAACATTTT